AGATGGTGGGATTAAGCTTGCCAAATTCTGCAGCTTCCGCTGTTGGCAGAGTCCACCCAGGAGCAGCTCCCTGCGTCCTCTCCTGTGAAGTCGAACCAGCTGGGGAGCAGTAGCGTAGGAGAGAGGGAGCTCTGCTTTCTTCCAGAGGCTCCCATCCCCAAACTCTTCTGGGGTTTGGGGGTTGGTTTTTTGGTTTGTTTTTTGGGGCACGGGGTCAGTTTTATCATACCGTTAAGATAATACTCTCAGTATTATGAATAAACAGAGTGTGTCTCTGCTTACAGAGCACCAGCGTGCTGCAGGACGATGTTTAATATGTTTTTTTTTTTTGTTAAGGAAGAGCTTGGGCTTAGATCAGGAGTAGCACTGTGGCTGCTTAGCCTCCTCCTTGTGAAGCAGCGGTGTTACCAACCCCCTTTACCTACCCCTTAGGATTTCTTCTGAGACAATGCAATCACTGCCCCACATGAAGTCCTGGAAACCACTGCCACACATGCCGCCAGACTGCTGACATTCCCCGTGGCAAGAAGGTAACCTTCTGCTGCACCTCTGACACGGCTTTAAAAAATCAGCACTGAAATGAGGCATGCTTAATCCCTCAAGGTATACGTACGCTTCTCCTTCGTATCAGTAAGTGGTCTGACAAACTGCTACCACTCATCAGTTCATTCAGTACTGCTTCGTGTTGCATAGCTAATACGCCAGAACGCGTACAGATAACGCTGGAATCCGGAGCAGTAGGGCACGTCACAAGTGGCATGCTTTCGGTCCTCCTCCACGCCTATTTCCAGACTTGGAGCTTGTTCTGAAGGTGTGAAGGGGACTGCTAGGTCACCCGCGCTGACCTGAATTGCAAAAGCTGGAGAACTTAGAGTTATTCTGCTGGGGCAGGGTTTTTTCTTCTCACACGTTTTGTGTTTCATTTGAAGACCTGGTGATGGCAGATCCGATGTTTGAAGACCTGGTGATGGCAGATCCGATGCGTTGTGGTTTTTTTTTTTTTTTTTTTTTTTTAAGCAAATGGTTAATTATTTGTTGCCCTCACAGACTGATTCCCAGCTGTTGTTGCTGCTGTTGCAGGAGGCAGAATGGATTTTGCTGTGTGGTTGATGTGATCCGTGCTTCACTGGTTTGCAGAGGCTTATGTCTGATTGCGTTCTTTTGACAAGATAGAAGGTGCCTCTAGGTAGTGTAATTTACATCAGGGAAGTTTTAGGGGGCTTTTATTCTTGATGTGTGCATAGAAAACACTTCTTGTTAATATGCAGAATGCATTTTCAGAAATTCACTTCCTTTTTTTGGAGAACCAAAATATTTGAGAAGTAATCACATTGTATTAGAGGGTCTAAAGCTATGCCTAACCAGGGATAAGGCCACCAGTGCAATCTTTAGTTTCCAAATCTTGATTCTCTGATCTGTTCTTATAGCTAAAATTAAAAAAAAAAAAAAGGAAAACTGACCAAGGCAGCCAGCTCTGTTCCTTATTTTGTAAATTTGTCAGTGCTTGAACTTCTGGGTTTTTACTTTTGCATAGTGTCTTCAGAAAATAATTTCTTTTTGAAGCAAAAATCAAGCTCTCTTTTTTCAAAGCAATTAGATCCGGTAATTTTTTTAAACTAAGGAGTCATGGTAACACTTTTGTAAGGGAGCCAAGGTGCTGTTGCAAGTAGAAATACAAAATTTAGGCTTTTTTCATAATTATGCGACACAATGTCTGACTTCTATATTTAGATTTCTCAACTAAAAACCAGTTTACATTACTGTGTCCGTAACTGAAAAGATAAAATATTGATCATTTGATCATGTTTTCTGAAGGTTTTTGGTTTTTGGTTGTACATCCAATTTGGTGACTTCCTTGTGGCCTGCACCATTTGAAAGATGCCAGCCATGCTTCTCGCCCGCGAGGCTGTGGTTGCCGGTCCGGTCAGAAGGATGGTGGTAACCCGGTGTTCCTATTTCTGTTTGGATGATGTGAGGATATTACTAGGTGGATAAATGCCAAGTATCCGACACACCAGTCTTCCAGAACTGTCCAATTTAGTCTAAAGCTTATAGTTTCTGACATGGACAGAAATTACAGGAAACACGAGATATTGTGGCTGCCCTCTTTAAATTCTGGTAATGACTAAGCAGTCTGCAGTTTCAGCTTTGTCTTGCAGCTTTAATCCAGTTATGTGTATAATCTTTTAAAAGTGTCTCTCTTTCCCCTGAGATGTGAGAAGTTGTATTTAGAGCACTTTAGACTCAGAAGAGGTATTTATAGTTCTTGGGTTTGCTGATGAAATGGCACAATTTAACTTTTAAGGAAGGGTCATGCTCCTCCCCTGATAAGCATCTGTAAATAATAATTTGTGATGGCTAGGCATGGTGTGACCAATTTTTTTCTGGTTGGACCAAAGAGTGCATGACAGTTGATCAACAATTTGGGATTGGCTCCATATCTGGGGGAACTTGTCTAGTTGTTGGCCATGAAGTAAAAATTGTACATGACTGGACATCTCTGGAAAAGAAAAGCCAGTCAGCTATGGGCTACACTCTTTTGAAAAATGTTGGGTGTTTGTCTTGTACAAGGGAAAGCGCATTAATGACTGTAAGAAGCTATGCTAGAAATGGCTGCCTTGAAGATGATCTTCAGTCTTCTCCATTTGGGTCGTCTTCTATGAGGTGACTGTCTCCTGCCATCTCTCAGCGCAAGTTTGATTTCTAGGCAGATTTGAGAAGGTGTTTGTGTACTACTTCCTAACTGGCCTACCTTAATGACCTACTTCCCGAAGGTTATCTGGACTCTGTTCCGCATCCCCCTCAGGCTGCAGCATGCCTTCACTTCAGTCAGGCCACCTTGGTGTTTTTCCAAGACTCTGCAATTAAAAATCAGGATCTTATTTTGAGACACAAAAATTTGTGGTTGCATTGCTTGGATCAAGTTAAGGACTTCTGATGCTCACTGTTACAGCTATATGCCTGAGGCTTACAACTTAAAAACCAAGTTGTGAATTGCTTACGTGATAAAGGTGCATTTATTTAATGAAGTGAAGCTTATGAGAATTTCATAAGCCAGACCACGCTCTAGTGTGTCACCCATTCGGGCTTCTGTTTATCAGGAATGTTTCGACTTAACTGAGACTCATAGCGTCAGTATGTGTTGGCACCACTAATTAAATTACAGATTTAAAATAGTGCATCAGCTTGAATGATAAAAACCTGCCTGATTTGCTGATGGCCGCTGCGTTACAGCAAGCGTATCCAGCAGCGCAGTTGGGGCTGGCTTCTTTGTCGGCTTAGGAGCCCACACGTGGGTACTGCATTCGCGGTGGAGGCATGAGTTTGGGGACTGGTAGAGGAAGGCACAGCAGAAGTGATACGCAAAACTGTACTTAGTTTCCTACTCTTATCTGTTGACGTTATGTGTAGAGCATTCTCTGCTGTTCTTTCTTATTTTTGTTCATTATCCTGGTTTTGGCTTTCTGGAAGCCCTAGATGCGAAGGGAGGAAGAGGCAAGCTGGGCTGGTGCTAAAGAGGTGGCCTGGCTATCCAGATTCCATTACCACAATTATAAGTGTTCGCATATTCACAGAGAATGAGGGTGGTATGTCCTGTCGTAATTCCAACTCGAAAATGATGCTTGTTTGAGGAATATAAGCAGCCCTATTTTTATCTTGTTTAGAAATTGAAAAAATTCAGAAGGGTGAAACAACAAAGAAGGATGAGGAAGAGAACTACCTGGATTTATTTTCCCACAAGAATATGAAACTGAAAGAACGAGTTCTGATACCTGTCAAACAGTACCCCAAGGTGAGGGCCAGAAAATAGCTTACTGAATCTCTGTGACTTGCTTATTTTCTATGGATTTTATGGCTGACTTTTAGAGATAGTAGCTGTCAAAGTGTCATCAGGAGTTATGCCAGTGTTCCACTATCGCTACGGAATTTTTCCTACGCGAGCTTGCAGGATCTTATTTCTAATATATTACATTTCTAGAATGTCTTGGGATAAAGCTAAATGGCGATGCATAGCTGTGATCCTTTATTACTAGAATAGACACTTTCATATGTAGAACTTTGTCTTTTACAGTTAAGAACTCATTTAACTCTTAAGATTTGCTGCCTGTAAAACTACTGGAGAGTAGATGTTAGAATTAAATGCCTTATGTGAGTTAATTTAGCTTGATTTTTCTGGTGGAGCATTTTTTTTCATGAAAAGAATGTTCTGGAACTTAAATTTTCCTGTGCATTTTTTGGTCTTTATTTTTTGATGAGGTGAAGAGAAAATGGAGTGGCTAAATTTTCTTGTCAGCCAGCATAAAATTCAGAAAAGCTTTTGTTAAGGCTACTGAGCTCTGGAGCTAATTTTTTTTTTCTTTTTCTTCATTTACAGTTCAACTTTGTTGGAAAGATTTTGGGACCTCAAGGCAACACCATCAAGAGACTTCAGGAAGAAACTGGTGCTAAGATATCTGTGCTTGGGAAGGGTTCAATGCGAGATAAAGCAAAGGTAAGGGCATCACCCTTGAAAAAATATGTATATATTAATGCCTTTCATATTGCTGTGAGAAGTAGTGGTTCTTAAAACATTTTATAAAAAAATTAAACCATTAAAATCCAAAAGGAAAGGCAGTAGGAAGTCACACTTCCTAAATTGTTCTGTGCATGTTGGGAGCAATCTTGATTGGGGCAGAAGCGTGATGCATGTTTTCTTTATGAGCATGACTTAGACATCAGTCATCTTTTGATATCCTGTACCCTTGGATGCAGAGATAGTTTATACGAAAGGTGAAGTACCAAGTTTATAAAGTAAGAATTAATTCCAGCTACTCCGTGAAAAGTCATTCGCTAAAGGAATATGTTCCCCTCCAGAAACAAACAAACAAACAAAAATCCTTTTTCCAGCTGTTGCCTCTGAAATCCTTAAATTCTCATGGTTCACTGAAGATGTTGGAGCAGCATGTTCCTGGTAATCTTTAGTGAATCACAAAATGCCAGGAGGTTTTTTTGAGCAGAAAAAATGAAAAGAATTCTTTTTCTTCCTGCTTACTCCCAAAACTGAGCTAACAGCCCACAGAGCTGTAACTTAATTCAGCTTTTTACTTTAGCAGCGTGAAAAGCTTTTACACTTCTAGCTTATTTGTAATTTCTTAAAGCCGTCTGAATAACACAGGTATCTAAGAGCAGAGTTAGAGAGCAAGCTTGTTTGAGGCATGAGGTGGTAAAGAGCACCTCGGGCAGAAAGGTGGTGTAGAAGAGGAAGAACACCGCTTGCATATGCCTAATCTTCTGGAAAAAAAGGTGGCTGGCATCAGCGCATTAGCAAAAATATCATAGTCACCTGAAAAGGCAGCTATAAAAAGCTGAAAGCTGTAGATTGCATGTTTTATAAAACTGTATGCTCATGTGTATATTGTTACCATCTGTGTCCAGGCATGGCCAAAATGCTTTTACAGACATTTCCTGTTCAGGTGTAGAAAAACAGATAAAAGAAAAGTAGTTTCTCTGCATCTTACTTAGTTTTAGGAATCTCTAATCTGCTTTGTTTCAGGAGGAAGAACTGCGTAAAGGGGGAGATCCTAAATATGCCCATCTAAATATGGATTTGCATGTCTTCATTGAAGTTTTTGGACCCCCTTGTGAAGCATATGCTCTGATGGCTCATGCCATGGAAGAAGTCAAGAAGTTCCTTGTTCCAGTATGTATACTGATGCTCTTTTCTTTTTGAAGGAGGTAGATGGGTTGTGAATCTGGCTATAAGGTTGGGTAAAATTTGCACAGTGTAAGGCTCATGCTACAGGAATGGCGTAGTTGAGGAAGCCTGGAGTGTTAAGTGTGTGTGCGGCAGCTTAAGATGACCCCGTTAATCTTGCATGAAGGCATGCGTTCTTCCCCTAACCATAATTAGAAAGAGATACAATTACAGGGCAATTGTATAGGACACTTGGAGTAGGTATTTCTCTCCCCGTACCAGCTGTGGGCACCGCAGTGGGTGGGTGGCTTGTCTAGCTCCACGTGCCAGTTTTAGTGGGAGAATAACTTTAGCCATGCCTGGCATGGAAGAGATTTCTTGGCTGGGTTCCTCTGACTTGAAACTGTGGCATAGAAATCTGGCTAGAAAACTTCATTGGTCAGATCAGAAACTGTAAGTACGGAGATGTTTGCTTGGCTCTAAAGGGGTGGTGTGAGGATGAGGAAGGTGACCACCCCAGCAGCTCTGTAGTAGTATTCAGTGTTGTAGCTAGTTTCTGAGTCGCATCTGTTAAATCAATATTTCTCTTGCTTTAAATGTGTATGATGTGAAGGAACCTCTTTGCTAATCAGGTGTTTATAGAGATGACACGTTACCTGTTTGTGGATGTCTCTTACTCCTGAACCTTGTAAGATCTTTATGGTTAGCTTCATGTCAGTTTTGTGCCAGCTAGAGTATTGATACTCCAAGAACTGCAGAACTAGGAGGAGTCTTTCGCATGTTATTAAAACAATGGTATTGCTTGCTAAATTAGGAAAAAAACAAAATGGGAAAGAAGCATGCGGTGCTCCCTGCTTCTGGCTAGCTCAGCCTGTAATTCAGAGACCTGGCAGGTGGAGAGCTGGATATACCTCGGCACCGTGCTCCACAGCTGAGACTGGGAGCTCAGGTGTTCTGCCTGAAATACCAGGGGCGGGTGGAACCTGAGAGGGGTGGGTAGTAGGGAAGTGTGGAAAAGCGTGTGGGTACTGTGTGATTTCTGTGAGTCTGCCACAGAGATGAGGAGAGATTGCTATCTGAAGTGTCTTTGAAGGAAAGAGGTCATCTTCAAGGAGCCCCTGGGATGTACAAAACCTCAGCTTGCTAAAGCAAGTGTGCAGCCTTGCTATTTAAAGTGTCTTTATCTATCGCTGCCTTCAAACAATGTGTTAAACTTGTGAAAATTGACAGAGAAGTCACTATGGAGGGCAGCAGTGCTGTGAAGACACATCTGGTAGGAGACTCCGTGCTTTCTGATGTTGCCATGGCATCATGAAGCTCCTCGGTGCGAGGCCCAGACCGCCTGTGTGCTGAGGGGAGCGGGGTACGATGGCTTCTGCGGGGTCACCAGAGAGCTGTACTAATTCCTGAAGCTAGGTCCCCTGAGGCGATAAAAATGCACGGAGCCAGAAACGCGCTGCGTTCCTAAGAATTTGAAAAGACAGCCTGGATTTGCGAATGGGTGTTTGCTCTTCGTCAGGCTGCATCCTGTCCTCTTCCTTCAGCGTGTCGGGAGCGCAGCAGCATGTTGTTGCCTCGTGTGGGCTCGTTGTCAGCCGCTTGCCTTTAAATGGGAGCTGTAAGGTGCTTGAGGTGAGATATGTCTTGCCTGACTTCACCTCTGAGCTCTCCCAACATTTGCGAATAAATCTTGCTGACGTCCCTGGGATGCCAGACATCATCAGATGCCTCTGGAACCCCTATGAGCAATACGCTCCTCCCAGGGCCCGGCTGTAGTGCTCCCTGCAGCTCGTGGACATGCAGGCGGTGTGCCCTTCTTGGCTGGTTTGGAGAAAGCTGGCAGTTCAGGACTATCAGGTTATTTTTATTCCAGCACAGTAGCCTGTGATATCCTGGAGCACAGACTGGCAAGTGAGCTGTTCTTTGGAGTTGACTCTTTCCCCTCTTTAGGATATGATGGATGATATCTGTCAGGAGCAATTCTTGGAGCTCTCCTATCTGAACGGTGTACCAGAGCCAACTCGTGGCCGAGGAGTCCCTGTGCGGGGAAGGGGAGCAGCTCCACCGCCGCCTCCACCTGTTCCAAGGTATCTTTCCCGAAAGCACAGACCTGGAAATGCTGCATCTTGCTCAGAGTTGTCCTGCCAGATGAGATTAAGCTGCTTGTTCTTGCACATCAGCTGTTGGCCTTGACCTTGGCTTTTGGCCAAGGCTTTCTAGCCTTGTGTTGCAGGCTTGTTTTTAGCAAGCTGGCATCAAATGTTTTGTATGCTTTGAGATGATATCTAGCACAGTGGATGTCTTCTGTATTATTTTTGATGTCTGAAATCAGTAGCTTCATAAAGTAACCTTTCAAAAATGGGCCTGTGAAATCACGTGTAGATAGATGTGTCATACTTGCTTCTGTAGCCTTCAGCAGAATAAGCATTTTCAGTTTAAACTGACCGTTCTTTAAGAGTTACAGGATGGCTTTATTCTGTCATTGCTGTCAAGGCATTGGGACAAACTGGCAATAAAACTCTGTTACTATAGTTCTTGCTTCATTACCTATTTCATGAGGGGAAAGTCTTTGCTTCTGAGTGTTTAGCCCAGAAGTGTCCCTGCTCATCTCATCATTGATCTTTACAGGTCTGGAGGTCTGGCAGGCATTACAGGTTAGTGATAGAGGGTTCCTTAAAATGAACTCTGAGAAATTACTTGCTCAAAGTTCTGTATCAGATTTATTTCTTCGTCTGTACAATATCTAATGCAGTAGAGTTCTCGTCTCAGAAGAGGTTTTTGTAAATCCTGCAATACAACCATGTTAACAATTCTTGTGCTTTCATTCTTGATAAAGAATTCATGGCTTAGTTAATGGTGACTGTATTTATCAAGCTATTGCTTTTTAAAGTAGCTGTAAGAAGCGTTATGCCCTGCCCTCAGTATTCGGCAACCAGCGGTACAGCAGTAGCTGTTCACGATCCTTTTTTTTTTTTCCCTCTCCTTTCCAGGGGGCGTGGAGTCGGTCCTCCCCCTCCTCCTCCTCGGGGGGCCCTTGTGCGAGGAGCCCCGGTGCGGGGTGCCATTGCCAGGGGAGCTGCCGTAGCCCGCGGAGTGCCTCCTCCCCCAGCAGTACGGGGTGCTCCCGCACCCAGAGCACGTGCAGCCGGCATTCAGAGAATACCGCTTCCTCCTCCTCCTGCACCAGAAACCTATGAGGAATATGTAAGAAACTATATGTCTTTGTTGTTTTTTTTTTTATTCCAGCTGGCTGATCGTGTATTAATATTCAACGTTATTTCAGTAAGAGCTAACAACAGTAAGATGGCACTGGAGAAGTGGCCACCAGTCACTAGTACAGCGCTGGGTGACCTGCTCTGCCTCTTTAGTCCTCAAAGGAGGGAACTGCTAGTGTCCCAAACACGGGGTAAGGGGTGGGGTTTATAGAACTGAAATGTGCCCCCAAGACTGAAGTTTGCTGTAACTATCAGTGCACGGTAGAAAAAAAGTACAGAGACTGATGTAGTTCACATCACGTCCTCTTTCTGCAAGAGAATTCTTTAAGCAGGGAAGAGCAAAGGTTTCTTACTGCCCCTAAAATCCTTACAACAATTATGTGAATGAAGATGATGATGTTTCAAGGCATACAGCTAAGCACCACCTTCCTGTCAAGCTTGTCTTAGCATCTTTGCTCTTGGTATTCTAAAGGGAAAACAAGGTGACTGGTTTTGATGCACAACAGCATTTTGGGAAGCCATCGCAAATATTGATTTTTCTAAATTCGCTTTCTCCTCCCAGTAAAACTTCTCAGTTTTTCCACTGAAACCAATCATAAGTTAATAGGTTGGGTTTTGCCTACCTGTAAATCTCTGTTTTAGGTAACACTCTTACAGGCCTCCTGGCACCTGGATTTGTACCGCAGACAAACTGCAGCTTTGGACATGTAAATGATTTTCAAATGCATTGGTAGTATCAGTGTGGTTTATTCCTCCGAAGCCACAGGACACCGGCAGATTTTAGCTATCTGTCCCCTTCCCAGCGGCGGGCAAAGATTCACAGGCTCCTCTGAAAGCTGCTGTAGCCTGAATTCAGTTTTGCCACTGCTCTTGGTCAGGCATTAACCTTTGCTTCTTTCATTAACACCATTTATGTCATCATCCGTTTCAGGGCTATGATGATGCATATGCAGACCAGAGCTATGAGGGGTATGAAGGCTACTACAGCCAGGGCCAAGGGTAAGTTTGCTTGTCTCCTATCTGTTATGGAGAAAATTATGCATGATCTTTTTTTCTTTTTCTTTTTTTTTT